ACCGACAAGGAACAGTGCTGCGATCGGCGCCACGACATGCTGAGACAGGCGAAGTGCTTGGGACCAGCAGGGCAATATGCTACAACCGATGACAAAACGATGTTGTTGCGGCTACGGTGGTGCCGGGATGGGTTGCAACCGGCAACAAAAAAGCTACAACCAATGATAGAATGGTGTTGTTGCTGCTACGGTGGTGCCATGATGGGTTGCAACCGGCAACAAGAAAAAGCTACAAACCGGCAAGCCTTTCTCCTTGATGGCGAGGAGGAAGTGGTGACCATGGGGTGAGACGATGATGCTAAGTGTGGCGAGCCTCTACGGAGAGGCGGTGGGGGCGAGCGCTCGTGCGGGACGGCGAGCAGAGATGCGCGACGCTAGCAGCAGCCGCCATGAGCGAGAGCTGGTCTAGGTGCCTCGTTAATTTTCGTGTGCGTGTGGGGGCTGGAGATAAAGAGAGCAACTAAGCAGGGTCTGATTAAGTTTCGGACTCGCTCTCGCCGTGGCCGACCCTCGTTGCTACCGCACCTCACGTTGTCACCACGCCTCACGGAGAAACATGGCTGACGCCACAAGTATGGAAGATAAAAAAGAATACCCTTTTTTTCTAGAAAGACAACATTTCTTTCATTCTTTTACATTGGAATAACGAATTGAAATCAAAACAATATAATTTAACCTCACACCCTTTTAAATATAGCAGTAACAACGGAGCTCGAAAATCAACGATATGCTAGTATTTGTGATGTTATTATTACTGTAATCTTTATTTTTTTTTGCGGAAGTATTATTACTGTAATCCAAGACGCATTGCCACAAATGCCTCTAGAAAGATCCCAAGTAAAATGTTCAGGCACATAAAATTTAGCAAATCATCAAAAGTTAAAGGACTGTGCTAACGACCAGTCAACTGGTTGTTAGCGACAGATCCAGACGATCGCTATGATTATTTCGATCGTCCCGCTTTTCCAGTTTTCTTCGATCGTTTCCGGCTTTCTTGTTCGATTCTAACAGAAACTGGCCCATTACCGAAAGATTTTGTGGACCCAGGTAAGTGCAAGGCTTCGGACTAGGCCCAGTTGACCTCATGGAGAGAAAAAAAAAGAAAGATTCCATCTAAAAAATTATATTCAAAACGTTTTGTAGCTCAAACCGTTGCTCTGATGGAAAACTGTTTTCACATAAAAGATTCGTCACGACGAGACCTTTAAAACTAGATCCCATGTTGGTATGTTTCGATGACTTTTTTTTCGGGTCAAAAGTTACCAAACCCGCACTAAGTAAGTTATCACATATATGATACATAAGTTACCATCTTATTTATATAGAAATAACCGGGGCATAAAAAGTGGTCCTCCAATTCTCCCCTGTGCAATGATTTAGAAGACCGAAAATTTGATGTCATCCTTGATTCCCCCTTATTTTCAAACTTCAAAATGTTTTGTAGCTCAAATCTTCGGTCCGATCAAAAAATCATTTTCATAAAAAAAACACCGCGAAGATGGCATCGAAACTAGATCCTATGTTGATATGTTCCGACGACTTTTATTTCGGATCAAAAGTTACCAGTTCTAGGCTAAGTAATTTATCACACATGTGCTACATATATTACCACGTTGTTTACACAGATATTACCGGGGCATAAACGTTCTAACCTTCTTATCGGCTTGGGTTAAAGTTACTGTGGTGATTGTGCATGTGTTATCACGTATATGATGCGTATAGTACCAAAAAATTACATGAAAGCTGTCGGGGTATGTTATTAAACAACTCCCTTGCCAATGTTATCAGGACCGAGGCACATAAAGTTATCAGGTCTGAGATGTCGGAGCTACCATGCTATTCACACAAAAGTTACCGAGGAGATATTTCATCAACCCCTCCCCCCATGCCAAAGTTGTCAGGACTGATGTACACAAGTTAGTAGGTCTGTGATATGTGAGTTAACCATGCTATTCACAT